ACTGACGTCAACGCCGAGTACATTTATGAAACAAACAAGTGAGATGGCCCAACTGTCAATATGTCAACTGTGTTGTCGATTTGACGACTTTTTTGACGAGAGAGAAATTTAATCTGATCGATGCCGTCTTCCCGAATTTTGGGGTAGGTCACGACCCACCCGGAAACAAATGTTGCAAAACTGGCAGAAAGTGATGCGATGCCCTGAAGCCAGGTATAAATTTCAGAAAATTGGGGAAGAGATATGTCAGGCTTCCCTTCCCGGTCGAGAACTGAAAGAAGTATATAACAATTATCGCCTGATTTCACACATGTTTCGCCCTGTTTGATTTTTTTCGTCGACGACGATATTGCACATATTGACCCATGAAGGGTGCAGCAAGATGTGCCGACATATAGGTCTTTTCTGACAGCTCGACCTTCATACACGCTGTTTCTTAAACATACATACACAAAGAGGGTCGCCCCGCTAGAAGCTATCTGATGCTGCCGTTCCCGTGGCCGAGACTCACAACGGTGTCGGACAAGCGTGAATATACGTCGTGGATCGTCACAAAGAATGGGCCTGTCACATGTGCATAGTCTGCGTTCATCCGTGCAGCCTGCTGCGCTCCGCGTATGGCTGATGAAATGTCCACGCAAATATGTTCCCAAATTCTCTAATGCAGCGTATTCTCGAAAATTTGTGATTTAGATGCTACTGAAATTCGTGATCACGCGGGCTTGATGACAATATGACCTCTGATGGCCTTGGCAGACACTGTATTCCAACATCCGCTCGTCCGTCCCGTCCGTCCCGATAGTTCACGTGGTTCGAGCGTTCGGTTCCTATTCGCCTGCTCGTGGTGAGGCGGGTTCGAGCGACTCTAGGATCTCGCTACTTGCCCCTGACTAGGAGATGGTCTGCGACCGCCGCCAGCGACAGCGCTAAACGTTAGGTGACGTTAAATGGCATGATGGACGCTGCCCACTATGGCAGGATGTTGACCTTTCACAAAATTATGTTTTTCATCCGAAAGTTTTCCATCGGATGGTGGGCTTTGGTCTAACACAACAAGCACTGCTCGACTTAGCGCTGATTCCACAAATTCAATGAACCAAAAGACTCGGACGAAATCTTAAAACGCTAGATCTGGTCCAACCGTTCAGGTTCGTGTGCGCGCTACCCGATCCCGGAAAAAACGAAAACACGCTGTTGTTTGACGTCGTCTCTATGTTTCGTTACTTGTCACATACCTAACTTGTTTGCTTATTTTTTACCAGGGATAAAGCTTCGAAAAATAAGCTGAGAATGAGGGCTGAGCGGGAAAATGGCCAAGCCCACCCAGAAAGTGACTAAAACTAATACAAAAAAGGTTTTACTCTGGATTTGAAATACTTTGCCCTTAAAATGGGGGAGCAGCTCCAGCCCCCAACAGGATAGGAAATTGCACGCCTGCGTTTAACACTCTCAAAGCCCAGACTGAAGACTGATGCATGGACCTCATTTAATGTTCAAAGATCATTTCAGAGCAAAAGTAATAAGTTCTACCAAATTTGAAACAATGAGCCACTTGATATCAATTTTTTCAATTCATCTAGCTTTTAGATACTAAGCTTTTTAGACTCAGCTTTTAGCTTTTAGCATCTAGCTTCCAGTGAGTTCTTGTTGAACGTTTATGACCATTTTGTGTGTTTGTATGCGTGTTTTTTCTCAAAGTCATCCATGCAACAAAAAGCTTGCGTCGATGAAAGCTTTTGCAATTAAGGAAGGAGTCTAAATACATCTATGGTCATTTTTTCTAATAAACGTCCATATCAAACGCCCATAAACACCCATAGGGCCCGCATCAAATGTTCGGAGAGTTGGAGGTGGGAAGCAGCTGGCTGTCAAGTGGAAGTGGAAGATTGGCGCCCTTCTTCCTGGCGCCCTAGTTCCCGCGCCCTTTGCCATGGCTTTTCGAGATTAATGCCAGACAGTCGGTACGTGCTTACAACGCGGCGAGAAGAAATCGACGCATTGTGAGGACGTGTTTAAAGGTGCATAAAAGTAATAACCGTGTCGAACATCTCCAAGCTATTCGTTAGAGTTCTTCACGGTCAAAATTATCGTAGCCAAGCCCAAGCTGATATCCAAAATGTTGTTAATGATCCCGAGCCCCATCTCCCAAAAGTTCGATATTGCCGACGGTTATTTTGCACAGAAGTGTCCGCTTTTTCTCTTTTAAATATTATTTGGATGTTAGACCTCTACCCAAACCAACACGTTAAAAATGCTTCAGATCAGTGTTTGAGGATAACCCCGATCCGCTGAAGGCTTTTGAGGTCCTCTCAGACGCCTCACTGCTTTTAAGGTCCTCTCAGACGACCCACTGCTTAGAAATTATTGCGGGGAGAGTCAAACATGCGACATTTTAAGCTGACGTACAATGAACCGGCATTCCCTACCTTGCGCCTCGTTGGAGGAAATCCTAGCGCGTTTGGCAAGAGGGAATTAATTTACTACAGCCCATGTTTTAACTTGAAAAGAAGATCAACCCCCAAACGGAATTCTCACTGATTTCACCCTGTTCATTAGGAAGCTCAGGTTGAATTCGTGGGATTTTCGCTCCTAGGTTAAGGAATCAGTCTTGTGAGGGAAAGATAAGAAAGACGGAACAAGATATACCCACTCCTCAGAAGTCCATCTTACCTCTTCTTAGCTGCTACTGTTCATTTTTCGAAATTCAATTCCATATTGGCTGCAATTACCACCAGTTTGAATTTAGTTCTCCATTATTCTAACTTTTTGTCTTTCGAGCATCGGCGTATGCAGTTATTGACGGCCATGCAAAAAAAATGTGAGTGCAAGAAATTGTGTCCACACTGACCCCCTGCGCGCACCGAGCGTCCCACCTGCATGCAACCCCCCCCCCCCCCCCTCCTGAAATCCAACTCCTCCACAGACCCGTGACATTCGAGTGGAACTCATCGTCAGGATGTGTCCCAGAGCGACACCCGAGGCCGGCCGTAACGCGCCTGTCCCGGAGCGCGACACCCGAGCGTCACCGCAGCAGACCTGGCTGAGGCGCGCCGCTCGATGGGCGTCGCCACCGACACGGATCACGCCGGCGGGGACGTGTCAGTGACGCGCGCTGCCGGTGGCATCGATCGCGCCGGGGGCGACGCTCCGGCGGAAGGGAATCACGGCGCATGCCGTCCCTGGACCGACGGTCGGCTGTCGAGGTCGTGACCAGCCGCACGGAATGGGAGTCCGTATGCGGCCAATCACCACCGGCAAATGTAGCCGGGTGTTGGCGGGAGAACGCCGGCGGCACGTGCCTCTAGCGAGACCGCCGGCGACGCGTGCCTCTAGCGAGACCGCCGGTGACACGTGCTTCTAGCGAGACCGCCGGCGACACGTGCCTCTAGCGAGACCGCCGGCGACACGTGCCTCTAGCGGGACCGCCGGCGACACGTGCCTCTAGCGAGACCGCCGGCGACACGTGCCTCTAGCAAGACCGTCGGCGACACGTGCCTCTAGCGAGAGCGCCGACGGCACGTGCCTCTAGCGAGACCGCCAGCGACACGTGCCTCTAGCGAGACCGCCGGCGACACGTGCCTCTAGCGAGACCGCCGGCGACGCGTGCCTGTAGTGAGACCGTCGGCGACACGTGTATCTAGCGAGACCGCCGGCGACACGTGTCTGTAGCGAGACCGCCGGCGACGCGTGCCTGAGGTGAGACCGTCGGCGACACGTGCCTCTAGCGAGATCGCCGGCGACACGTGCCTCTAGCGAGACCGCCGGCGACGCGTGCCCCTAGTGAGACCGTCGGCGACACGTGTATCTAGCGAGACCGCCGGCGACACATGTATTTAGGGAGACCGCCGGGTACACGTGCCTCTAGCGAGACCACCGGGTACACCTGCCTCTGGAGACACCGCTGGCTACACACGTCTCTAGCGAGACCGCCGGCGCCTTATGGCTCTAGCGAGACCGCTAGCAACACACGCCTCTAGCGAGATTGCTGGCAACGCACGCCTCCAGCGAGACCGTTGGCGACACATGTATCTAGTGAGACAGTCGGGGACACATGCCTCCAGCCAAACCGTCGCCGACACGTGTATCTAGCGAGATCTCCGGGGATACATGCATCCAGCCAGACCGCCGGCGACGCGTGCATCTAGCGAGACCGTTGGCGGCACACGCCTCTAGCGAGACCGTTGGTGGCACGTGCCTCTAGCGAGACAGCTGGCAGCGTACGCCTCTAGCGAGACCGTCGGCGACACGTGCATGTGGCAATACGACAACGGAATGAGCGAATGTTCTTCACCTTAGAGACTCAGATGGGTTATGGGTGAAAGCTGATCAGTTTGCTGTGTACATTTTACGTGGCCCCTCTACACCGGCCTAATTAAAACCAAACGATTTGCTCGTTCTTACTCGTCTCTTTCGATTATTGGTTTCTTCCTTTTCTGCGCACCACATGACCGCCTTCAGACACACGCAATAGCAGTGCTGTCGTGTGCGCAAAGTGCTACGGTGCCTTAGTGGGAGGATCAGGGTCGGAGACGGGACACCTCGGGCACTCCTCGGCGCGGACCAACTTCCCAGCGCGAGTTATCGGAGGTGAAAGCTCTGCTATAAACGAGGGCCATCTGGTCCTGGCGGTCTGGCCCGGACGATTCATCACGCGGCCAGCGCGGCTGATTGCGGTCCAATTTGGCCAGCCGTGACCTGTTTTACAGTGGCTCATCAGCGAGTCCGGCGACGCCGATGGGTCAAGCCAGCGGCGGGTGGGGTCGGTCGACGAGGCCAGAACAGCCATGCCTTCGGTCGTGGGGCGGGCATCGGACGCCGGCGCGGGCTGCCGGCGTGGCTGAATCATCGCCAGCCGGCGTGGTCCTGCGGCGGTGGCGGTGGTCCTGCGGCGGTGGCGCGTGGCGGTGGCGGTGGTCCTGCGGCGGTGGCGGTGGTCCTGCGGCAGTGGCGCTGCGTCGGCCAGCGCTGTTCTGCTCACCAACTCTCTGTCTGCCGTGCAGGGGCGCAACAACAGCCATGAACCCTTCGCTGCGCGTGCGACGCATATCTGTGTCGCGCTCTACCGGTGACCTGAGGAAGCTCGGCCTGAACCGCGGCACCCCGGGCCACGTCGGTCAGGGCCACGCTGCCAGTGCAGACAACGTCGCCCTGCAAGGCTACGTCGTTCGTCTACGGCCCGATGGAGCCCAGGACAGGTCAGTACGCGACAGCCTCGTAAGCATATAGATGTGTTCATCCACTGTAGCCTGGTGGGCTTCTGAACAGGCTAGTAGATTGAGCTGCTCAAGATGCTGCTGATATTAATTAGAAATGGTCAGAAATTCGGGGGTCGGAATGCAATTAAAGCTTCCAGACAATGTTTTTTAATGAGCATCGACAGCGCCGTCCGCACCCCGCGGCAGCAGTGCGTAACAATGAACAGTACACATTACGTGCGTCCGCGCCTGGTTGTTATTCGCCGAAACGCCTACGCGGCAGCAGTCGTCCATTGTGGCCGACCGCGGCTGCGGTATGCTCAGAACAAGCACACACTCATACACACGGAGAGCCGGCCGGGCGGCTTGCTGACGCAGCTCAGGTCGCACCCCCTCCCCTCCAGCCCACATGACCCCCAACCGCCCCCGCGTTCCGCCCTCCGCACCCGGTGCGAATTCGGTGCACGGAAGCAAACAGCTGCGACACGTTGTTGGCTGAGACGGCGTTACACCGCCTGGCTCCGTCAGGCTTCGCCCGACGCTCAACAGGGGGCGCCGGGGAAGGGGGCGGGGGAGCAAGTTAGCGGCCACTTACGCAGCGCCCGATAGATAGTTATCGGCGTGTGATGGGTCTGCCCGAAAGATAGTTACCGGCGAATGGTGGGCCGTGTTACGACCATTTAAATTGCTGCATGGTGCGTGTTTTGAAGGGTATATGCACTCACTTCCCTCAAATGACATGACGCAAACCATAGCACTGCACCGTACCGACGATTGCATTTTCAGCAAATTGCATCGTCTGAATTGTTGCCAGAGTTTTATCACGTCCCCGCTGGATCCCCTCCTTGTATCCAAGCCGTAAGTAGCCTCAAAATGACCTCCTTTTCACACCGGCGTGATATCGGGAATTCTAAGACAAACAGTTGACTTTCCGATACGGCCGCGTAAGGCTGTGGTCTCACCTGCGGTGTGTGCGCAGCAGGGCTGTATCAGACGCGTAGTTCCGGGCGGTGGCGTGGCGAACCGGCATCAAATTCTGTCGGTCTCCGGACCTCCCACTGACAAAGTGGTCGTCTTCATGAGAGCTGATGCGAAACCTGGGACAATAAATCTGCGGCAACCCTGGAAAATCATAATTGACTCCGGGAGACCTGGTGGGAAGTGAGCTATCGAACAGTCCTGACACGTCCCCTGACACGTGGACGTCTCTTGGTATGCCCTCTACGCTTGTTCCTCGGGGTTCGAATCCGTGTTGTCACAGCAGCGCAAAATATTAATAAATGCTCGGTATTGGCAATGTGGCGACACCGTGCTAGCTTTCAAGGCATTTTACTCAGGTCAACATTTCCTGGAGCCAGCACAGTGAGACCTTGGGTGGCGCAGTATATCCGCGCTAGGCCTCAATAACAGTGTCCCGGCAGCTCCACGAAGCCGAAGCCACCAGTCAAACTCCAGCCGCCGGCTTCGTGATGTCCTATCTGGTGTGCAATGGCGGGAGCACAAACGCCGCGTTTGGAACAAACTGATGCGACATCATTGATGACATACATGCGGTAGCACTGCTGCGTGGCGGACGAGTTCCCGAGGTCGCCCAGGTGGTGTGTTTTGTTTTATGTGTGCCTGTTTTTTGCACACGGCAGTCTGATGAAAGCGAGGGCTGACTGCATGAGCGTTCCGGTAAACAGGCGCCCAGGGCGTGTGTGTGTCACTTGAGCTGTGCATTGTTTAGCACTGGTGCCACGGGCTGCGAATAACGGCGCTGTTGCTTTTGCAAAAAGCATAAGTTGAAAGGTTCAGTGAAATTATTCTTTTAGTGGTTCGCAATGTGGTAGCAGGCCACCCGCCTCTGTCGCTGTTCTTGGGCTGATTGAATGTCTGACAGTTTTGATTAAAATGCTGCAGGCGGATTCCCGTACATGTCTGTGTCCTGCTGCTTGAGGACTGCGTGGTCATTTGTGGACTTATCTAGTAGTGGGCATTCACAGAATTCATCAGCTCACTTTGCAGAAGAAAAACATATATATATATATATATATATATATATATATATATATATATACATAAGTGTCCTATATAAGTCATATCAAGTTTCGCGTCCTTCTGATTGCCACACCGAGTTTTCGTGTGATGCGGGCCCCCTGTGAGCCGGTGCAGACAATCATTGGGGGCCATCGCCAGCAGACGTGATGTGAAGGACTACCAAGGCACATCTCCTCTGCCGGCAGGTTGTGGTGTACTCTAGCCGGAGGGCGGCTGCGCTGGTTTTCCAACAGAGCTGACTCACGACCAATCGACGATCTCGACCTGGCTGGATGTCAGGTCAGGGACTCCCCAGGAGGGCTGCATCTGTATCACAAAGCAGGTGAGTGGTTACAGATTCTAGTGCACATGCCGCGTTTTCACAAAGTTCGCACCTGTATGTTGTGTGGCTCAATGGAGCTGTTTTCACATGATCTGGGTGAACATTTCCCATCCGTGTGGGAGTATTTAAATATGCATGTTGCGTATTTGTGCGATATGGTTTGGCGTACATGGGTTTCAATTACGCTACACAAAATAACTATCTTTAACCGTCGTGGTCCTGAAATATATGCTTTGCAATACCCAATATCATAGCAACATGACAATAGTACGGATTTCGATCGAGAACAACTCTAAACCGTCTCCAAGCCATTCATCCGTCAACACCACTCTGGCTGTGGCTTTACGTGCTGGAGATTACCGCCTTCACGAAGGTAGCGCCGACTTGGAGACTTTGTTGAGGTGGATGCCGCCAGTTCGGGAGTTTACCGCGAAAGCGACTTTTGCAGGGTTGTATGTTAGGCTCCAGTCGCGAAACTGGTCACTGGCCGTTGTAAAACATCACACCACACACTCCTCCGAATTGCCAAACACCGACGTGACGTCAAATTCAGCGCGCGGCCATGTTAAAACAGCCGCATCGCAACGCAGCTATTTGTTTAAGGTTGAAAGGCAATCTAGACCTCTTTTCGCGTGGAGTCGACTCTCAAACAATTGCATCGCGACGTGGCAAATTGTTTTTTGTCATATTGCGGCGTGGTCATTTGCAAACAAGCCACTACTTTGCGTAGCTGACGCCTGTGCGGAGGACGGCAGGTGTTTGGCGCGCGCAGTTGGCTTTCCGCTGAGCTTTGTCGTAAATTGCTTTGGGTGGTTGTGGAATTTATGATGACCAAAGCGTATAAAGGAGCACGGCGTATGAACCATGCTGTAAAGCGCGTAGAATGGTTCTAGGACTCGGGAAGGTTAAATCAGGTTTGAGAGCGTTAAGTATTGGTTGTGCCGTGAAATTGTGCAAATCATTCGGGATGTTTTTCGGAGAAAACAAAGTCCGGTAACCTTTGTCTTCATGTTCCCTTTTCACAAAATGTGGAAATATTTGCCACACTTAAGATATCAAAATATGGTGTACTTAAAATAATTTCAAGAAAGAACTAACGGATGCATGTGTTTTCATTGAAATCCAGTCGTACCAGCACATAAAACTTTGGGTTGAAAAAGGCCCTCGTGTCGGCACGATTTTTATCATCATTCGTGGTGGTAAAACCGACCATCCACGAAATCACATCTCATCTTCTTTACTGCTTATTTTGGGTTCAATAGGTAGCAACATAGTAAAGCAAACAGCCATCTCTTTACGGAGAATTCCCCTGAACACATCGAACCGTAAACGTGGTGAGGAAATGGCCTAATCCCTTTGGTCATGGCGCTCGGCTCAACTAGGGCGCGCTCTGTTTAATGATCTGTGGGAACCCATATCCCTATCGACCGGCGATCTCTAGTTTTAGACACAAAATTATCCCGAAAGGCCTTGCATTGTGCTCTGCCTTTTGCTGAGGCAACGGCGGAGTGGCATGTTGCTGTGGCTTTTCATTCGGTCCAATAAGGTGCGCCGGGTTTGTCTCGACTGATATCGCATGCTGGGAGACCGTCTGAGCGTTTTTGATTGACCTTTTTCGTGTCCTAGCTCGGTTCAGAGGCCGGTATTTACGCTTGACTGCTTCATCTCTCGTTGTTCATCGCACCTTTTTATTGCTCCCCTTACATTCGACTTTTTCTGCTCGTGTAAAAGTAGCACGCCAATAGGCGGCCGCGCAAGCTACTGGCAACGAGGATTGATAGTATTGGAAGGAAGGATGGGGAGAATTGACGAGAGCTGGTAGCAACGGTTGTGGGCGACTAAGCCATTCGGCCTCTAGCCAAAAGAGCATTGCTGGCTCGGACCGTGGGGGTTCACAAGTTATTGTAGTTGGGTGCCATACGAGACCAGACACCAATATCGGTTCACGCATGATTACATAGATAGCAGCCATCAGTTTAGCAATCATTCCGCACTTCAAAGCCAGAAGCGCTGCAGACACAGGAAGGGGAAGACTTGATTCGATGAGAATGGATGCTCGAAAAGTATGGCCGGACCCACGTCTACCGGCGCGTTACCGCTGTTAGCGTTCACCTGCGTGCCGCTGCACCAAGGCGACAGCACGCGCATGTTGGGACGCTCCTCGCCCCCGGAGCGACAAGGTCCGGTCGCCCGCCGCTGTGGTAAACAGCGCGGCCCGTGGTTTACAAACACAGCCGCTAAATACGCCGGGCCGCTGGCGCTCCCACGGAGGCTGGTCCAGGCCGCAACACGCAGCTCCCCGCCTTAAACAGAACGGTGATGTGACGCCACGCACCCTCCACCTTCTGGACGACACAGGGCCGGACCTGGCTGCAACACGCACCTCCCCGCCTGGCACGGAGTGGTGAGGTGGCACCACGCGCTCTCCATCCTCCTGAACGATGCGGGGCTGCTCCTGGCCGCAACACGCGCCTGTTCCAATGTTCAGTTCCAAGCCAAGCATTCTTGCTAGGCATATTGCTCCTTTGTTTATTGTTGAGAAAGCAAAGATTGCTGAACAAGATAACTGCATTAATGTGCTTTTCCTGCAACACAGCCATCGAGTGAGTACGCAGTGCCGAAAAGGACTAGGCGTTCTTACATAGACTACATCCAAGCTAGGCTTTACACGAATGTTAACTACTCGCAGAGTGGCAAGCTAGAGATCTTGCAATGGTGGCTTATATGGGGGGGAGACTGAAAGATGAAAGGAGATTCGGTGAAGGAGGAGGATAAAAAGGAGAAGGGGGAGAGAGAGAGAGAGAGAGAGAGAGAGAGAGAGAAGGAGAGAGAGAGAGAGAGAGAGAGAGAGAGAGAGAGAGAGAGAGAGAGAGAGAGAGAGAGAGAGAGAGAGAGAGAGAGAGAGAGAGAGAGAGAGAGAGAGGAGAGAGAGAGAGAGGAGAGAGAGAGAGAGAGAGAGAGAGAAGAGAGAGAGAGAGAGAGAGAGAGAGAGAGAGCAAAGAGAGAGAGAGCAAAGAGGACTAGAGAGTGAGAGAGAGCCCATGACCTTTGTTACTGAAGACAAGACAATCAGGGTGAGTGTTGCGCGTTGTCAGCCGCTGTTTGCTATCCGTCAGTGTATACTAGCAGAGTAAACTGCTGCGGCGGCTGGGGCCTGGTCCGGCCCCGTCCGCCACCTCCCGTCAGTCAGCGGCGAGGCGTGCCAGCGGCCTGGGACGGCGCCGCCGCGGCCTCCCACCTGCCGGATGATCGCCGTCGGAGGTGAGCCGGACTGTGCTGGAGCACGAGCCCACTGCGACACTAATGACGCAGTGGCGTGGCGCGTCGCCCGTCGCGTTAGGCGGTGTGCAGCCGGCCGGGCGCGGCGGTCGTGCTGCCGGCGGCGGCCGCCGATCGCCGAGTCAAAATTTAGCATCGATGCCAATCTCGTTTCTCGCACGGACCGTACTGCGATCACAGCGCATGCGTGTGCGAGGCAATATGGCGCTGCATGAACATTTGAGTCGACGCGCCCTGAAAACTCGGAATTATCATACACGATGCAATCGGCGGTGCGAGCGGACGCGGTCGCTCTGCCGGCGGCTGCTGATACGGGCTGCGGAAGAGTGCGTGGCCGGAAGCTGTCGCCGCCAAGGGCGCACGCCCCCGCTGTTGACGCAGGATGAATGGCGCTGCCGCCGGCGCTCCAGCGCCCGGCGCTATACCGCGCGCCTGCACCTGACAGGGCACGGGCTCGACGAGGCCCGTCCCTCGTACCGACGCGCCCGCTGCGGATAGCTGGAAACGCGTGCCATTCGCCACGTAAAAACCAGCCAGGTGGTACCGAGCGTTGTGAGCCGTAGCCGTAGCATGTCGATGGACTGTGACGGGGTCAATATCGCGCATAGTGAACGAGTGGAATGCTTGTGATCACTGGCACCTCCTTTGTGACGTATGCTTGATGCTTCCCTCGCTGGTCGGTGACTTCATGTCGCACCTGTTAAGACACGATCGGGTCCGAGCCTTTTACATATGTATTAATGACCGTTGTTGCGCCAACACGTGCCATAAGGCCCCTGATGATAGGAATTTATCGCAATACTTTGGCGTCTGCATCGATTCAGCCTGATAATAAAAGAGAGACTGGAAAACTAGTGTGCTGGAGTAGCGCTTTTAGTTAACGACAGTTAAATGTGTTTGAAATTTTCATAACGTCTACTTGAAGATGACATCATTTCCGCGAGTCGTTTAGCACAGCCTTATGTGGACGGCTAAGCGCCCAAGATCCTCCCATTACTGCTAATGGATCAGCCCGACACTTCAGACACCGTATAGCACGCAAATGTGGTCACCTCTGATATAATGCACCGTACCATAACACGTCAGCTAAACAGTGTCTGGACATGGTTAAAACAGAGGCAGGGACGGCTAGCACACCGCTCGCAGTTCACTCAAATGGCGCCAGCCCGTTTTCTGAAGCGCCACAGTAGCCGCAGGTCGGACATCACATGCGCCACTCGCTCACCAGACCACAGTCCTGTCAACCTTTTCGTATGCAGTCACCTCGATGATCGAGCGTATGCCAACAACCCTTGCACGACAGAGCTAAGGGCCGTGAGGCATCATTGTTCTGTCATCTTGGAATGGTTGCCCTCAACGTTGCAAGACGAGATGGTCTCTTTTTTCCGAAGATTCCGTGGGTTAGCGGATATGGCATGACCCCGACTGTGTACGCCATCCCGCGCCAGGCCAGACGTGCATTCATTACGTGCCAAAACAACGCAATACCGGCGACGGGGGTCGCCATTTAGTCAGGGGCAGTCGTGTCTCGCGGACAGTCACGCGACGGAGCAAGCTGCTGGCCCGGTATTGTACAGGTGAGAGACCCCCGCCTGCGTGTGGGCGCCGCTCAATGGCTGCTATCGAACGCCTCCTGAGACGTAGGGCTTCAGCTGGGTAGGCTACCACTGGCAACCCCTGCTGCACGTCAGCTGGGCAGGCTGCCGCTGGCAACCCCTGTT